ACATAGGTCTCCACAAAAGTAAAGTTATCTTTGTTTAAAGCAATGGCAGGAATTGAGAAAATGAGCGCATGAGGAACAGTTTCATTTAAATTGTTATAGACAATTGCTCCTACTCCACCAGCAGACTTGACTTCATCAGCCCCATAAACTTGGTTGCACAATACAATCTTTCCCTTTACTGCTTCTTTGTTGAGACACCCCTCGTAACAAGCCCTTACACAGAACAAAGCAATCAGATTTTCTTTTTATTTTGCCAAATTTAAGTTATTATTTTTGAAATTGAAACTCAATTGGAAACTCACCGAGCTTCAGCTTCCCCGCAGGCACTAGTATTTGCAACATTTTCTCCAGAAACCACTGGGAACTTTGTTCCATTTAGCGTGAATGTATTGATTGACAAACCCTGTTTGTAGAGAGGCAAGACAATCATAACCATTATTAAGAACCATTCCAAACTAACAACATATATAAGCTGTCAAGAGAGTTTCCAAAAACGTATGTACAATACACACCGTTAGTGTCTTCCCGTTCCCAAGAACAACCTTGCTGATGAACTGGCGATCTATGCTACTTGCAGCAACAGAAAGCACCCATGGTGCTGAACTTGAAGTTGACATAAATGTTGGATAGGACCCCGTATTTCCAGCAGCTTGTAAGGTAAGAATTCCTTTCTTCATGGCATGGAAGGCACCGATTGCTATGGGATCAACATTGAAGTCTATGGGGAATTCACCTCCTATTGAAATTGTAATCAAGTCAACTCCATCAGCTATTGCATCGTCAAAAGCTGCCAAAATTTCGTGCGAACCGCACCCGATTGCTTCACAAACTCTATATGCAGCAATCCTTGCAGAGGGAACCCCTCCTTTGGCAGTTCCTTCTCCTAGCCCAAAGAAACTAGCACCTTTGACAGGATTTCCAGCTGCAGTAGATGCAGTATGACTCCCATGACCTTCGTCATCTCTTGCTGAGACAGTAGTGTAATATCTAGCTCCGATTAGCTTGCTGTAACCAGTGAAATCACAAGAAGATTGATTATAATCTATCAACAAAGTAATAAATTTATTTGCTATAAAAGGGTGAGACATATAAATCAGGAATGTATTTACTTGTTGCAAGTAAAATTTTTGCCACCGTCACAGGCACCTTTCCACTTTTTGGGAGGAGGACCAAAACCTTTGTCGCTAAAGCTTTCTGACTCAGGCCAGATTCCAGTATCAATCACACCAATGATGACATTACTCTCCACGGTTGGGTTGCGCTTGACGGTTTCATTGAAACCTAAGAAATCCCATGATCTTGTTGTTTGTAGATGGAAAGTTGTACTCGGAAAAACAGAGACCACTCC